GTTCATCAATTACATTTGTACTGATACCATATCGTTTCATTACACTTGTACTGATAACATATCGGTATATTACACTTGTACTGATACCATATCGGTATATTACACTTGTACTGATACCATATCGGTATATTACACTTGTACTGATACCATATCGGTTCATTACATTTGTACTGATACCATATCGGTTCATTACATTTGTACTGATACCATATCGGTTCATTACACTTGTACTGATAACATATCGGTATATTACACTTGTACTGATACCATATCGGTATATTACACTTGTACTGATACCATATCGGTATATTACACTTGTACTGATACCATATCGGTTCATTACATTTGTACTGATAACATATTGGATCATTACATTTGTACTGATACCATATCGATTCATTACACTTGTACTGATAACATATCGGTTCATTACATTTGTACTGATACCATATCGGTTCATTACACTTGTACTGATACCATATCGGTTCATTACATTTGTACTGATATCATATCGGTTTTATTGCACTTGTACTGATACCATTGCACTTATCTAATTGACAGACCTTCAATACTAATTCAATACTATTTTATTTCATTATTATGCCTGTTAGCTATGTAACATTTGCGATTAATTACATTAATATCGCTGAACTCTCTGCTACTTACATGCACTTTTGCTCACAAAGAAACACACGCCCTTCGACTTAAAAACAAACCCAGTGACAGCCCCTTTGCCGAGTTGTATTTTCATCAAATAATGGCGCAACAAAGGGGTCCACTATTGTTAGCTTTTGAACATTTTCTTCTATTGTCATCGAGTACTTTTTAACAGACTTCTTTATTTACAACCCCAAAACTAGAACAACAATAAAGGTCTTCATCTTCAATAACGTACTTGTGTGAAGTTAGATGAAACTCACATCATCATGGAACACCAGGAAAGCCAGGCTAAAAAAATAAAGCAGCACATACTATAAAATGTAGGGGTCAGCAGTCACATCGAAATAGATGTAGTAATTCACGGGAAGAGTTCAAACATAAGCTTGACATTAACAGAACACAGCCACTGCCATTAATGAGTGAAATTACAGTAAATGTAGAAACGTCTACAACACAGATATCTAAGTCTGCTAGGTTTCATGTTGTATCTGGCTCCACTGGTAACTCACTAGAATACCAAACTGTTCCCGATCTTGGCTTGATACACATAGTTGAATCACTGCCAACAAATAAAGTAAATGAAATAATTGCTCAGGACTATGCTAACCGATTTGAAGGCATTGAGAGAGAAGCATCCCATGACCATCATAGGAAATCTCATTGTAGATCAGAATGAGGCAACAGTTTTTAGCAAAATAGTTATCAATCAAGGATATCATCAAATGGAGCTTGATAAAGAGTCGTGATACAGCACTACATTTGCAACACACCTGGGATTGTATAGTTACAAGCGACTGAGTTCCGGGGTCAATTCAGCTGCCGAGATATTTCAGAAGGCTGTTTCAGCTAAAATTCAAGGAATTAGCGGCGCCAGAATTATTTCAGATGACATCATTGTTTCGGCAAAACGCAGAAAGAACATGATGAAATGCTGAGAGCGGTATTTCAGAGATTAAGGAAATACAATACTACAGCCAACCCTGAAAAATGTGAATACAGCCAATCATCAATCCAATTCTATAGTCATGTATAATTAGGTGCTGGGAAACTACAGAGGATAAGAAGGTGACATTTTGTTGTTATGTAAACATTCGCGACGCATGCGCATTTACGAGTACGAGTACGCGTAAGCAGATAACTTTCATTTCACCGCACAAGGAAAGCATTCAGCCACTTGTGGCGAAATTTATCAAACACAGTAGATATTTACCATTTCGCCACGAGTGACTAAAATCTTGCGTAAAGTTGCGCTCAGACGGAAGATATTTGCTTAAGCAAACAGCCATGAATGAATTTTGCCTGAGCTGATAGCTCTCGTGTGCGCCAGGCTTTAGGTAGTAAGCTCAACAACTGAGTTGAACTGTTTGTTATTTCCATGGTGTTCTTTTGTTCCAAGGCGGAATATAGTTTCCTCCTCGACACGCCTGAGCTGATTTTCGTTGCCATTGACAACACATACACCAGAAATAGACATATATGTAATGTTATGTCCACTAGAATTAAAATGAAGTGAAACCGGATAAAAACGATTTTTCTGTCTAGTTTGCCGCAGATGCTCAGCAAACCGATCACCCAATCGACGAACTGTAGAACCAATATAAACTAGTAGAACTAGTCTCCTCGCTGGTCTCCTCGCTGGTCTCAGCATGTAATTGTCCGACTGAGCACATAGCTCGATATTTGGATTCAATATTTGGATTTTCGTTGCCATTGACAAACAGTTCTACGTTTCCACTAATGCCTACTACTGCCTGGCGCCGTGACACTAATTTAAGGGGGTTATTGGTACATACGGGTGAAAAGGGAGACCCAGAGAAATATGGTTCTGTCCCGTGTAATCGACCTAGGTGTAATACGTGTCCTTTTATTACAGACTCTAATCGTATATTTGGTCCCAAGCGAGATGTTGAGGTCAAATATGCGTTCAGTTGTATTACCATGAATGTTGTATATTGCATTTTATGTATTAAATACGGGAAACTTTATATTGGTTCTACAGTTCGTCGATTGGGTGATCGGTTTGCTGAGCATCTACGGCAAACTAGACAGAAAAAATCGTTTTTATCCGGTTTCACTTTATTTTAATTCTAGTGAATATCTGGAATGTTGTATGGCGTAGTAAAATTCAGTTTTCACACCTATACCGTAATTTGGGTGGGGTGGTGATACTACTTAATAACAAAACCTGCGTGGATGTACTCTCCCCAAAATTGGATGTATCCAGCAGAATATTACACACCAGTAAAAGCTAAAATAAATGACACAACTGATAATGTTATCAATGTCTATCCCTTAGTGAGCAAATCAGTTCAAACTCACTCAGTCATAATGATTCTGTTATATGTAAGATTTATTTAACTGCTAACAGAGATAGGCGTAGTTAAGCATTAATGGCTTTAAACTAGTGGATACCTGAAAGCATCTTTATGGCGACGCTATGATAAACAATAACAAATACACGTGGCGAAGTGGGAATAAAGCGGCACAACCCGACCAGCTATATATTAAAACAAATCTTGCAACTGTCTAAATATTAATACAGACATCAACTCTTATCACTCACCTGTCACATTAAAATATCTCGCACAACCGGCAATAAACTCAGTCCGCTTTGGTGTCACCCAACTCCTTGACGATGAGAATTACCGTGACTTTATTAGGCTGTTTATCAGAACAAATTAAGTAAAATTCGCTTCAATCTTGGTGGGATATTGACAGGTTGACGATTACTGAATGAAAGCGACAGTGGTTTGAATCTTATAAACAAGCATCAAATGCGAAAATTTTTATTTCTAAATCAGAAAGTCTATAAGTGCTGGGTACGTACATTCGCAACAACTTTGAATTCGCTGACAAAAACGGGAAAGATATCTTGTAAAAATAAAGAATAAACCCCAGCACTGGAAAAGCTTTGCTAAAGTGTTGTCATATCGGGACCTCTCGTGCTGGTGATCAACCAACTGTGCGCATCAAAACTGTGTCTCCCCAAAAGATCCCACTGATGCGGGCAATATCATGAAACATCATGGAAAACACGTGGTACGGGGAGTCTGCAAGTGTACCTTAACATATTTTTAAAAATCCTAGCTACAACAAATTGATGAATGTTTTTGAAACTGCATCTAACAAAACAGCCCCCTGGAAAAATTAATATTCTTTGAAGCTTATATAAAACCAAACAAAGATTGGGAATAATTTTAATTACGTTGTCTTTGATACGTTACTTCTTTTAATAGACTCCCATGATGCAGTTCTGCGTATGAATGAAGCTGGAGTTGAGGGGTTCGAAACAGACGTAGGTTCAAAGACAACAGTACGGTTGATTAACAGTCAGATGCTTGACGTAAAACACGTTGCTGATTTGAAGAAAATAGTGAATAAAGACTGTTCATTATTTGTCTGGAGAACTGGCCCACGTGATGGAAATCTTACAAAGGTAGGATTTAAAATGCCAACTTTAACCGTATATCCACCGGAAAGGAGTATTTTATTTATTTATTTATTTATTTATTTACTTATTTATTTATTTATTTATTTATTTATTTATTTATTTATTTATTTATTTATTTATTTATTTATTTATTTATTTATTTATTTATTTATTTATTTATTTATTTATTTATTTATTTATTTATTTATTTATTTATTTATTTATTTATTTATTTATTTATTTATTTATTTATGTGTTTGTTTGTTTTTTATTAGTGGCATTATGATGGCGCTGGTGAAGAGTATTTCAATAATTTCATCACATGGGTCAAAGGACATCCAAGTCTCATCCCTCATTTAATACATCCTTCGACTCTGTGGGGAAGTTGGGATGTCATACACCAATATACAAATGAACACTTGGTCGAACATGTTCCTTCAACTGGTTTCACAGGCAAGTAAATAAATATGTTATAACTAATGGATAACCAAATTACACACAAATTGTTTGGCAGAAAAAAAGTACTTTACTACAAAAACTAGCCCGAACAAATGCTTCAAAGTACCCCAGAACACAACAGAAAAGTAAGAAAGTATCTAGATTAAAAGTTACAAACCTGTGAAAAGTGTTACATTTTAGAGAAGCTATGGGAACAAATGGGGTGAGTCAAATAACCAGGGGAACAAAACTGAAGAGGATGGATAATCTGCTGCCGCTAGGTGGCACTATACACTTAATCTAATACATGTACTAGTAAAATAGATAGAGGACGCTACAATTACAGAATACTGAATAAATAAGGCTAAATACGTACAGCAATTAACCTAATTTATAATGGAATCACATTTAACACTATTCTATCCATAGAGAATTATTATAGTGCATTCAAGGGACTATACTGTATTTTAACTGTATGCATTCATCTTATGAGTCAAATGTGTCAATATATCAACCTTTATAATCACATTACCCCGTGGATAATGCCTTTATTATTCTACTTTTAGAATTCTTTAATGAGTTTTATTTTTATTTCAGGCATTCATCTTATGAGTCAAATGTGTCAATATATCGATGTTTATGGATACATTACACCCATGCACACAGATTGCCACTATTACAAAACCAGTAAATGTCATCCTTTAGAATGGCATCCAATTAACGAAGAGAAAAACTTCCTTAGACGACTGCACATAGGAAGTCAGGAAGACATTTCAACTAAAGGAAAATTATCGTTATATGGTTCTATTCATAACGGTGTTAATTGTTAGAATGGATAACAGGACCGTATTAACCTACCATATCATGTATGTTACGATAATGTTAATCCACCAGATCCTGAATTAAAAAAAAAACCACCAGGTCCTAAATATCATAATGATAAACTTGCATTCAGTCTCTTGTTTTTTTTTTCAATAACATATTGTGTCATTGTGTAAATAGCGAAAGTCGGGTACTTTTAGGACATTTTTAATCAAGAGATCCATGGTTTATGTAGGTTCAGGAGTAAGCGATCAGTATGTAAGGGTGCTAAGTGCCTTTTGTAGGAACCCGGTATGGTCATTAATGACATCATAAAATTCAGTATTGATAATGGTGTAAAAACTAACGTCGAAAGAAAAAAAAATCACCAAAGTGAATATTATGCTATATTTAGTAAGAAAAACTGACAAAGCGGAACGCTCTAAAATAGCGACAATATTTTGTGAAATGTGTGATGCCCTGAACCATATATTTGCAAAACCGTTCAACATGTGTCTTCCATATACTATCTCAAACAATACAAATTAGTTGCAAGACTGTGATACACAGTGACATCCTGAAACTTGTGTCTCAATCAAAAAAGAACGTCATCATTTTAAACAAATATGTGAACAATATGTAAATAAAGGAGGCTGGAAATAAATTAAATGTCCAATACTTAACTTCGAATGTGTTCATATAGTCGTGTTCTGACTACACGAAGTACGGACTAAGATTTAAGCTAATCGTACATATTTGCTTATAGCTCCGTCACACCTTAACGTTTTGGTCAGCGTTCTCTGAACGTTCCAATCGTCCAATTTCTGAGCGTTCTGGAACGAGGTAGACACATCCAGCGTTCGATTAACGAGTGCCGTAACGTATGACTAGCGTGTTCCTAACGCACGAGGAGCGTGTAATGAGCGACCAAGTAAGATACCCCTGAAAAGCATTTACGTGTGCTAACGTGTCACTAGCGCGCGATGAACGACTTTTAAACGTTAAGTGAGCGTGTTGAGCGTGTATCTAACGTGTGAATAACGAACGAATAGTTTAGGTCGTTAATTTGACGTTAGTCGCACGCTTTATGTGCGCTAGGGGTACGTTCAGCGGTCGTTGACAGGTCGCTAGTGAGTTGTTCACTGCAAAGCGAGCGATTGGTAACACCTAAGTAACACTAGAGCAACGACTGACTAACGATTGTCGAACGCGTCGAACGTTAGCAAAACGATCGAAGAACGTTATTTAACGTTTAATATATTAAAATCAGTTATACATAATTTAGCAAGTTTCTCATTATATTTATCATGATTACATTCAATAACAGCATGCCTATACCATGTTTATGGTAACAATTACATACATATTCTGGTCCAACAGATACATCTTTCTGAAAGTCATTAATGAGTTCACTGAATCGATCGTTTCCAACTGCATTTTTACATTTCAATCTCTTAGCATTACACTTTTCATTCTATAATAGTACTATATTTTTCCTCTTTAATCTCATTGCATTCTTCTCCTTCTCTAATTGTTCTATATTTTCCCTCTTTAATCTCATTGAATTCTTCTCCTTCTCTGATTGTTCTATATTTTGCCTTCATAGTTTCATTGCATTCTTCTCCTTCTCCAATTGTT